TGACTACACCCGACCCTGTTGCTTTACAAAAGAATAAAGAAAAGAAAATACACAAGTGCTGTTTTTAGACCGCCCTTCTGCTTTGAAAAAGCTATCCAGCGGGCTTATGCAAACGACCTCGTGTCTGTGTGTCTGTCCGTTCCACAAAAAGGAGATGTGCTAGAGACTTCAAATTTTCAGGGGATCTCAAGGTTCACTCCCACAAACCAAACGCCTACGGCAAATCCTGTCAGCCACCCCTAAGGGGCTGAAAGGGGGTATCAAAGAAAACAGGAAAGGCCAAAAAAGTTGGAATTTTTTTTTGTCTATGATCTCCTAAGAAGTAACTTGTTAAAGTAGAGCCCTATGAACGCGCTAGAGGGTCTTTTTAGACGAAAATAAGCTAAAAATTGCCATAATGAACAATAAGTTGTAGAAAAAGGCCTAAAAACCGCAAAATAGAGAGGAAACTCTCCCCCCGACCCCATAAAACGTTTTCTAAGCAGAAGGGTGGGTTGTAGTCGCGGTGCATCACCGTTACATCCCTTTCTCGAGTCTTTGGGGCAAACTGAAAGACGACGGGTTTAAGCGGGCCGAAGGCCCGCTACATCATTCGATCATGTTCCTTAGCAAATCGCGTGACAGAAATGGTCGGCCCCGCAGACCCGACCATCGCTGCCGGCAGGCCAAGCAGGCCCGGCCCCTGCCGAACGGAGTTGCTGGCGGAGCGAAGCGGAGGCCGTTGGGCCTTCTTGTTTCACCCTCCTCCACTCTAAGGGGTGCACACACTGAAAAAAAGGACTAGTAACAGATACCAGACAAATTCTAGTTAAATGGGTGCTAGTTATTACAACTAGGATAATACTAAGCTTTACTGGAAGTTTAGTATCGTATACTAACACAGGTATAGTTACAGGTACTAGCCGTCTAGTAACTGAGTCTGGTTAGGTTTACTAAACTGTATAGTAATTTTTACCAGACTGCACGTTTACTAGGCTATGCCTGTGGTCCGGCGGCGGTGGCATCACACTCGTTACGCACGCCTCTCTCCTCAGGTAGTCACCGTAGCCGAATGGTCTAGGGTGCGGACTTCCAAGGCAAAGGTCCGCGGTTCGAAACTCGGTCAGGGCTTCGAAATTTCGTGGGTTTACGAGTACCCGATGTAACCGTAGTAACGGGCAGACATCTTCTATATTGCATTCGTATATTTTTGAACACTTTTTGAAAAGAAAATGTGTGGTATCTGTAACTAGACATCTGGTAAATTTTACTAGACTTTGTGTTACTAGCCTGTCTGGTATCTTTTACTAGATTCCTAATTGGTTCCTATTTCACTAGACTGTCTGGTACCTGGTACTAAGATCCTAGTAACTACTACTAGTATTTTTTTTCAGTGCAGCTCGATAGGGGTGACCAACGGCTTGCGCACTTCCTGAGCCCCGAGATAAATGATTGAGCCGCCTGCATGCCAATTCTTAGCTTCCCTGCTCAAAAAACATAGAATCTGCGTCAGTTTGAAAAATGCGCCCGATAATTTTGATGAGCAGCACTCGTCGGGTGTGGGCGTGAAATAGAACTAGGTAGATGTACGCCAGACCACGTCTCGCGTAACAGGCTTCGCGATATCTCACGAAACACTGTTACGCTGCGACGCGCCCGATATAATGGACGAAAAAATCACTCACTCAATTTGGAATTTTTTCTGGCAATCTTGAGTGCCGTATTTCGCGGCATTTAGGCCCCTGCATGTGACGGGGACAGGCCGACAGCGGATTTTGGTGGTTGCCCGGATGGAAGGATCTACACTCGATACTGCACTTGTAAACTGTAGTTTAAACTATAGTTTTACTGCAGTTAACTGTAGTTTAACTCTAGAAAAACTCTGCGTATTTCGCAAGGGGCCTGCCGGCTCGTTTAAAACTGTAGTTTAACTGCAGTTTAACTTTAGATTGACACAGTGCGGGTATAAACTGTAGTTGGGTCTACAGTTTTGCATTAGCGACCATCCGGTTGAGCTGGAAGGGAAGGTCACATGGACCTACCTCGGCAGTGAGTCACTCCTGTCGGCACTGCGGGGTGCGCGTAGCGAGCGCTCCAAGATGACGCCTTGCATCGGGCGCCCAAAAAGGGTGTTTCCAAAGGTTATTTCTATTTAAAATCTATCGTTTTAGGCCCGAACCCCGACAACTTCATTTTTTTGCAATGGCCTAATATAGAATGTAACGTCACGTTATTTAAACAGTGGAATTGCCAGCTGCGCTTCACTCCGCCGGCAACTTCGTTCGGGAGGGGCCGGGCCTGCTTGGTCTGCCGGTGCCGATGGCCGGGCCTGTGGCCAGACCATTTCTATCACGCGATTTGCTGAAGAACATAATCAAATGATGTGACGGGCCTTCGGCCGCCTAAAACCCGTCGTCTGTAAAATTTGCCAATTTGCTACGTAGACACGAGAAAGGGATGTAACGGTGAAGCACCGCGACTACAACCCACCCTTCTGCTTAGAAAACGTTTCTGGGTCGGGGAAGGGGTGGAGGGGGGAAGTTTCGTCCCTATTTTGCGGTTTTTAGGCCTTCTTCTACTAGTAAGGTATACTAAAGTGACTTATCGTCTCTGAGTCAGTGTTCTATACCATTACTACTTGTTGTGAATTTTGAGCATATTTTCGTCAAAAAAAAAAGACCCTTCAGCGCCTAAACGGTCAGAGATAGATCCAAACAGACGACATTGTTGCCCAGAGGGCTCTACTTTGACGAGTAACCCCTTAGAAGGTCATAAAACAATACTTTTATTCCGACTTTTTTTGACCTACCTCATTTTCTTTGATACCACCTTTCACCCCTTAGGAATGGCTGCCAGGATTTGCCGTAGGCGCTTCGTTTTCTAGAAGTGAACCTTAAGATACCCTGACAATTTTAAGTCTCAAGCACATCTCCTTCTAGTGGAACAGACAGTCAGACAGACAGACAGACACGACGTCGTTTGCATAAGTCCACTAGACAGCTTTTCTAAAACAGAAGGGCGTGCTAAAAACCACAAAATAGGAAAGAACCCCC